GCGCCCACGAGATAGCGATCTTGCTGTCCAGATTGGGGAAATAACTTAGACAAAGATATTAATCTTGTTCTCCGGGACTCTACTTTCACCATCATCTTCACCTTCTTCTTCTTCTTCTTCTTCTTCTTCTTCCATGTTTTCGGAAGGTTCTGGCTTCTGAAACCTGTCAGCGAACGTCTCCATCCCCATGAATGACAAGAGGAACCAAACATGAGTGAGTAGTTCCATAACTTCACTCATGTTCTTGGCGTGCAAGTACCCCCTGCACCTACCAGCAGAGTAGCATAGCATCTCCACCCATACCGCCTGGACCACCTCCCACCTCTCCACTTCCCGCAGATCCATCAACCCTTTGGCAAGCTTGCATGCCTTGGGAACCAGAGACCCTATTGCCCTGGCGTCATCTAATAAGGAAAATTGTTGGACCCAGAAAAGAATACCATGCGCAAGTCCTCTTTCTGTGTCCAGCGCATACTTGCTGCCTAGCACTAATTCGACATCTTCACAGGCGACGGTGAAGGTACCGATCCTCGACCCGGGCATAAGCATCTCTGGATGGAGGGAGAGCAGGTAAGCCATGTAGTTGGATATCACTCTGCTTCTAGTGGCAAACTCTTGGCCGTGAGCGGTTGTGCCTTGGTGGTGAAAGCAGAGGTCCGTGGCGATGTGCCAGAGAAGGATGCTTCTATCGAACGGCATCTTCAAGCTCCACCCGAGATGATGCTGATGCCTTAGAGCCCACTGGCCCCTCCGACTATTGAATTTCCTATAGCTGGCGTCGTTGTGGATATATCCTTTCCAACCATCCCTGACATATCCATGAACCAACTCTGTAACTTGGAGTAAGGATGGTTTTGCTGCGTGCTCTATATAGCAATGCACATTGACATAGTCTTTGTAGAAGACAAGTGTGGCAAGCTTCATCAAAACAGTGGGCCGCTTCTTACGAGCACAGAATGACAAGAGGTTATATTGGGGAACCTTTTTTGTTGATCCTATGAGCACGATGGAAGGACCGAGGAAGACCGATATGAAATCCAACAGTGCGGTACACCAAAACAAGATGTAGGTTACCTTGACATCTGTTGTGTTGTAGTCATGATATATGTGGTTTGTGGAGAAGAGGATAACAGAAGCTAAGGTTAGGAACGGAAGGCAAACAAGCGAAAAGCAGATATAGCTACTGAATATCGTAGGTAGTTTTGTGTAGAGGAGGAAAAACATCTCATTAAGCATTGCTGCCGACAAACTATTTGCATGTTGGTAATCAAGGGCCAATGAAAGTTTTAGGCTTTTGATCCGACTGGAGTATGGGGCTGATATGTCTACTAGTGACCTGTAGGCATTTACCTTCAATGATTGATCCCATGCGAGGTTTTCAGCTTGCTTTTGATCAGTGGCTAGCTCTGGCAGATTCTTGATTGCTTCTTGCACGAATTCTTCAAGCGGGATGTCCTTCTCTTGGGTTTCTTCTCTAGTTTTACTTCTAGTAAAGTACCAATCCCATGAGCAACCGCACATTGCTTTCCAACACAATGAGATGCTCTGTTTCTTTCTCGTGGACGTAGAGTAAGTGGCGATCATGGTATTGATACTGGCAGTCTTCAGAGCTAATGGCTTCTGGATGGATCTGATGATCCCGACGACGAACAGTAAGATCCCGGACTGCAGTAACCTCTTTTCGCCGCCAGAGCCAGACCAGGACTTGCAGAAGACGTAGATGGCGACCACGACCTGGGACACCGCGGTGATGCCGTGCCGCGTCCACAGCTCGTTGTCTTCGATGCTATAGGCGGTCATCATGTGCTGGCCTCCGAGGTGGATGAGGAGGACCGGCGCCCATAGCACCTCCAGGCCGGCGGCGAGCTGCTCCTTCTGCCTGTGGCGGTTGAAGAGGGTGGCCAGGGCGTATATCGCCAGAGCATCCCCGCCTAGGTAGGCGAGCCAGATGAAGAGCTTGGGCAGAGATGAGAGGGCACGCCTACGCACATAGGAGGAGAAGAAGAGCATGCACTGGACGAAGAGGCTGCCCAGCACCAGTACACGCAATTGCCACTCATCCCACCATTGCACGGCGCCTGAGAAATCCATCGCCAGCTTCCCTCTCCCTCTCTCCCCCTCTTGGCGTGTGTACGCATGTAGTGTCCACGTTCTCTTCTTTGGTCTCCCATCGCTACAAGAGATGCATTCGCTCGCACGAACAAAGAGGTTTTTGTTCCTTGCGTGCTCGTCATAGTTTCCCTGGTATACGAAGATGCTCTATCGCGGTGATGCTCGTACGTAGATCTTCGTTTCTTTTGTGCTCTTTTATGGATTCCTGTCCCTGGAGTGATTGCTTTTTCACTTTACTTTATCCCTTGCTTGTTCGTCGTTGTCACAGGTGAATAAGTCACCAAGGCTACACGCAAACGCGCGCGAGACTTTGCTTGTTGGCGACCACACTAATCGATCCAAGCCGAACGTACTAATCTGAGCATCGATCATGTGGCCCCTATGTACTCATCTGAACTCTTCTGATAGATATGAGGATGTCATGATTCCAAGAAGCAGAGCTGCACAGATGGTAGCGCACTTGGAATTTTTTTTTTGCGAACGCGTGAGTGAATTTTCTAGCAGAACGGGGTTCTACCAGGTATCTCGCTGCCATCTGATGGTGCTCAGGTTCAGACATATTTTTTTTCGACAAAAAGAATATATTAATATCACGGAGATACCAATTACACCCAGGCTCTTCAATAATGCAATGTCGTAAAGACATTACGGATGCACATAACTAAAAGACAAAAAGAAGAAGAAGAAAAAAAGAAAGAGCTCGCTACAGGGATCAATTCCTATTAGCTGCAGCATGAACCACCACCTAGACAACACCCGAAGTCACAATCCTCTAAAAGCGACGCCTCCAAGAAGAAAACAGTGCACAAACACCGTCATCGCCCGATCCTAAATCTTAGTTTTTACCCTAGGGAAGATCCACGCTCTCAAAACAATGCCTTCAACAAGGTCACTGCCAGGCACAACCAATAAAGGTGAGACATTGGGCTTTCATCCTAAAACCCAAGACTATGTACTCCGCCTGTGTTGTCGCCCCCACTTGCCGATGTTGCTGCCACGAGTAACGAATCACCAACCAAAGTCCTACTCGTCCACCATTACAAGGCCTCAGGCCTCAGCCACATGATGTTCTCCTTCGCTGTCTTCGCCATGGAAATCAAAACACCGACGTGTCCATAATGTCAGCTGACAATGAAGCTTCGCGTCACACCCGCCTGAAGCCACTCGTGCTGAAATCGGGCCACACACGACTGAATCCCATCCGACCCAGCAATCTATAGGCATCAAGCACCCAATGAAGATCTCCGGCCGGGCATTCCAGAACTCGTCAATGACCAAATCCATGAGGGCCGACAACCAGAAGAACGCCATCTTAGAGCAAAATTAACCCAAGGACCGCGCCACCCGCCGGCTCCGAACAACAGGCCGGAGATCTCAACGAGGACGACAACATAGGCTGCTGGACCTCTTCGGTGCTGCAATCAATACTTTTGCTGGTAGTGAACTATACAAAATACATGATATATGCAATATAAATCGATGATGCTTGGTGCGTAGGCAAAAAATCCTTCAGCATGAGAAAGTTAGTATTGCATCTTGTTCAACTACTAATCCAAGGCATTATTTAACATCGAAAAACCTTCAAAACATGAAGATCACATCGCCTTCAGAATCAGTTGATGCAACAACCGATTTAATGTGACAAACAATAAATAAAAAAAACAAAGAGCAAACAGTGGGATGAGGAAGTGGGAGGATGGGGCCTTCCCATGAGGATGTGCCTGGGAATCAACGATCTTGGCCCGGAAGAAGGACCCTTGGTCGCAGACGATGACGGAGGAGGAGAGCCGATTTGCACGGTGGCGGCCTGGAGGAGATGGTAGTTGAGCACATCGGTGGCGGCATGCACCAAGTCTCCAACCTTTAAATCCTAGCCGCGGGGACCTATGAACCTGGGGCCACTGGACGTCGTATGGGGCAGCACCACCGCCTGCAGTAGCTGCTCCTCTCCTCCTCTCATCAACGACGAGAACAAGGCGTCCCCGAGGGACCTAAGCACCATCAGTCGTCAGTGGCGTGTGACAGAGGAGGAGGCCGGCGAAGGAGTTGGAACAATGGAGGAGGTGGCCATCTGCACGGGGCAGAGGAGGCGGGTGGGAACTGGGAAGAGCCGAAAAAGAAGGACGGAGGTTGTGCCAACAGTCAGAGAAGAGGAGAGGAGACGGAGGCGGCGGCAGCGACAAGAGGGGAGGAACAGTGTCGCGGGAACTGGCATGGGCCCCACTGCTCAATCTCTGGCCTACACGGCCGCGGACGCCTCCTGCACCGGCGGCAGCAGCCCAGAGGGGCCTCCAAGCCGATGCGCGATCCGGCGCGGGGGGAAGGGATGGCCCTGAGGAACGGCGACCCGGCGAGCCCGTCCGTCGATAGCTGGTCGGCACTGGCGGCTCCCTCCATTGTCGTCGTTTGGGTACAGACGCGTCCCGGTTTACGCGATCATCGGCCATGACGAGCGGGACGGACGGGACGGTGGGATTATATCCTATCCAATTAGATTAGAGCACTCGCCTCACATGCTATGCTCCGCCGCAGCAGCCTCATGCTTGAGCTGATCCGGGCAGAGATGGGCGGAGCAGCTCCGGGTGAAGGTGGAGAGGAGGCGCCGGAACGATGGTGGCTCCGGACGGCTGTGAAGGAAACGAGACGTAGACGTTTCCCTTCTCGTTTCTTGTTTCTCACACTAGTAAGCGTGCACGTGCAACGCATGTATAATCGTAGAAAGAAATTTTTTGAGTCATCGTAGTTAAGACATAATTATCTCGTATCAAACATTCACACAGTGTACTTCTCAAGCAGACAACCATATAGAATTAACAAACCCATTAATTCAACAGTACCTTAGCCAAACTACAAATCAGACCAGAGATGTACAGCAGAACCAACTCCAACTCTACCTAATGACCGGCAAAGGTATTCGTACAATATAATGGTTTCAAACGTGCAAGGTAATATCACAAGCTATATCAAACTGCATGATGAGTGCTGTGCTGGGAGGGGGATCTGAAAACAGTTTCCCTTTACTTACAGAATCACAAAATAATCACGAAAAGAGAGTGGAAAGCATGGAACATTGGGTACTATTTTCTCAAAGCAGGTTCTACCAAGGGAACATCAGATTGCACCTAGTTTGTGGTTCTGCATATCTTGCATGTGTCTATGGACTGAAAGCAGAAGATGCAGATAAAGAGAACTAAGGAACTAAACATATTATGACATGTAACACCGTTGGTAAACTCATCATTGTAGGCTGCATATACCAATGTCAGGATTGACACAATATATATAACTCAATACAAATCACAGCTTCAACAGAATCAGTGGTGAGAGAACTAAATCTATAGCTATTCTGCTTACAAGCAACACAATGGCTGGCAAAAGTTATCTTCTGAAAAGAAACACAATCCACTCTCTTTCTGTACAAGTACAATCTGTGAAACCACTCTCCCCATATCATAAATTTGTTCTTCCCTCCATTATCTACAATCACAATCCTCTTTCTTTCTGTACATCTAAAAGGTTCTAAATTCACAATCTTCTCAATCCTGCAAGAAAGAAAGGGTGGGTTCTGAACCTTTCTCTAACAAAGTCAGCTTCTACAGTTCAGCAAATTAAATTTTATTGCGAGTACTTCCTTTTTATTCTCACCACCAAAGGAGAGTCTTTTTTGTAGCACAGAGCAAACATATATGTACAGAGGTCTAATAATGAATCCTCCTATACATGTTCACCAGTAAAGCAAGCTTTGATGGCCTTACTGATTGTACAAAGCTCCAGAATCCTCCTATACATGTATTTACAGAGGTCTAATACGCTAAACCACAAATCCTCCTACACATGTTCACCAGTAAAGCAATTGGCTATGATGCTCCAAGAACAATATTCAGTAGAATAGTAGTAGAGACATATCTCGACAGATAGGAGAGAAACTGTGCAGTGATGGAGCAAAGCGAAGATGGGACTGAACCTGGGAGCCCCATCCGATCATGACAGAGGACATGACGCCCTTGACGCCTCCGGGAGCAATGGGAAGAGGTTGCACCCGCCCGCCACCATATACTGAAGAGGCACACACAAAACAAAAAAACATCAGAAAACAATTCCTGGAGAGGGAGAAGGAATAGGAACGGGAGTGCAGGTGCAGACCTCATCGTGGCTGGCGAGGGAGATCTTCTCCTTGTTGAAGACGCCGATGTCGAAGTCGAGCGTGCAGCCCTCCGCCGTGCAGCCGCCACAACACCATGAGCATACAAAATAATCTCCATCACCAGCCATAGTCTCCTCGGGATTCTAGCATCAATGTTACATTTTTCCAAGCAATATATGACCTGGAAAAAATCATGTTGTTCGTATTATATAACGAAAAATAAGATTCTAGCATCAATGTTATGCATTTCAATACTGATTAAAAAAGTCTCTTTTTTCATAACTACCTTAGCTAAAAAAATGTTTTAGTATGTCTTAGACTCTTGGCTAATTCTGGGCATAATAGTCTCACAGTGCATCTGTGGTTCTTTGAATCTCGAAGCGGAACACAATGCTAGTAAATAAAAAGACTAAAAACATAAAGAGTTGTGGACCACCATCGCAGCTGATAAAATTCGCTAAAATAAGGTAGAAGAGATAGTAATGGAAATATATAGTCCAAAATGGAAAAATTGAATGAAAGTTTTAGCAAGATGAGAATTGGCAGTGTAGCTTCGTACAAGTTGGGCTTCTATAAAAGCAGCAATTAGAACTGTTGTACATACGTGAACTTGTTTAGTAGCTTTCTTCAGCATTCAGAAAAGAAATCTCACGATGATAATTGATTGCTCACCTTGCTGCATGCCACAATCCGACTGAGAGAACATTATGTGAGGACAAATCCATGAGATTCAGTTAGAAGTTATCCTGCAACGAAGGTTGCAGTTTTATTGGTGCAAACATTACCTATGGATTCACCCGTCGGTCTAAAGTAACAAACAAACTGTCAGCAATTG